AGTTTCTGTCTGGATGACCTGTCCATTGGTGAGAGTGGGTTGATGAAGTCTGCCACTAATAATGTGTGGTGTTCAAGCATTAGTAATTTAAGCTTTAGGAATGTTTCTTTTACAAACGTAGGTGCCATTGCATTTGGGGAATAGATGTTCAGAATTGAGACATCATTCTGGTGATTTTTTTCTTTAATGATTATGAAGTGTCTTTCTCTATCTCTTTTGATTAATTTTGGTTTGAAATCTATATTGTTAGATATTAGTAGAGCTTCACCTGCTTGCTTGTTAGTTCCATTTGTTTGGAAAATCTTAGCCTGGTGGTGGTGGCACACGCCTTTAATCCCAGCACTTGGGAAGCAGAGCTAGGGGTATCTCTGTGAGTTCAAGGCCAGCCTGGTCTACAGAGCGAGATCCAGGGCAGACACCAAAATTACACAGAGAAACCCTGCCTCGAAAAACCAAAAAAAACCCAAAAACTTTTCCATCCCTTTGCTCTGAGGTAGTGTCTTTGTTTGATGTTTATGTGTATTTCTTGTTTGCAGTGGAAGGATGGACCCTGTTTTTGTATCCGTTCTGTTAGTCTGTGTCTTTTTATTGGGGAAGGGAGTCCATTGATATTGAGAGATTATTTTTTCCTATTGTGTTGTCGGTGGTGGTGGTAGTGTTTGTGTGTGTGTGTGTTTGTTTGTGTGTGTGTGTGTGTGTGTGTGTGTGTGTGTGTGTGTGTGTATTTCCCTTTTTTGAATTTTGCTGGTATGAGATTATCTATTGCCTGTGTTTATATGGGTGTAGTTAACTTCCTTGTGTTGGGGTTTTCTTTCCAGTACCTTTCTGTAGGGCAGGATTTGTAGATAGATATTGTTTAAATTTGACTTTGTCATGTAATACCTTGTTTTCTCCATCTATAGTAATTGGAAGTTTTGCTGGGTATAGTAGTCTGAGATGGCATCTATCTTCTCTTAGAGTTTGCAAGGTATCCTCTAGGCTCTTCTGGCTTTTAGAGTCTCTGTTGAGAAAGTCTACCTTTGTATGTTACATGGCCTTTTTCCTTTGCATCTTTTAATAATTCTTCCTTTCTTCTGTATGTTTAGTGTTTTGATCATTATGTGACAAGGGGACTTTCTTTTCTTATTCAGTCTGTTTTATTTTCTGTAAACTTCTTGTACCTTTATAGGCATCTCCTTCTTTAGGTTGGGAAAATTTTCTTCTGCAATTTTGTTAAATATATTTTCTGGGTATTTGAGCTGGGATTATTCTCCTTCTTTTATTCCTGTTTGCTGTGGGATAGTCTGTATGTCAGATGTGTTGCTGATTGGTCAATAAATAAATCACTGATTGGCCAGTGGCCAGGCAGGAAGTATAGGCGGGACTAACAGAGAGGAGAATTGAGAGAACAGGAAGGCAAAAGAGAGACACTGCCAGCCACCATGATGACAAGCAGCATGTGAAGATGCCGGTAAGCCACGAACCACGTGGTAAAGTATAGATTTATAGAAATGGATTAATTTAAGCTGTAAGAACAGTTAGCAAGAAGCCTGCCATGGCCATACAGTTTGTAACCAATATAAATCTCTGTGTTTACTTGGTCGGGTCTGAGCGGCTGTGGGACTGGCAGGTGAGAGAGATTTGTCCTGACTGTGGGCCAGGCAGGAAAACTCTAACTACACCTATTATTCTTAGATTTGATGTTTTAATAGTGTCCCAGATTTCCTGAATGTTTTGTGTTAGGAGGTTTTTAGATCTAACATTTTTTTTTTTACAGATGAATTTATTTATTCTATCATATCGTCAGTGTTTGAGATTCTCTCTTCCATCTCTTGAATTCTGTTGGTGATGCCTACTTTTATTTTCCATTTCCTGAATTGACTCAGTTTTTGTTTTCTTTATTGCTTCTATTTCAGTTTTCATGTCTTAGTGTCCTTCACGCGTTTGTTCTTTCTTGGCTTTCTTGGCATTCTTTAAGGGTCTGTTGATTTCCTCCAATTTTTTTGTTGTCTTTTCCTCAATTCCTTTAAGGGAATATTTAATCTCATCTTTAAGGACCTTGATCATCATCATAAAGTTGGTTTCAGTATCATTTTCTCGTGCTTCCACTGTGTTGGAATATTCAGGGCTTGTTGTAGTGGGATAGCTGGGCTCTGGTGGTGGCATACTGCCCTGGCCATTGTTGTTTGTGTTCTTGCACTTATGTATAGGAATCTGGATTTGGAGTGATTATAGGTATAGATGCCAATTTCTGGATGTTTCTTTGTTGGATGGATGTTTTCTTCTTTAGTTTTTGTTTGCTCCCTGTGGTTGAATAGAGGGTTTCTGCCCATATTGGTGGCTGGACTTCTGATGGCCTGGATAGTCTCTGGTCCAGATGGGGGTTGCTACCTAAGTTTGGGGCTGATATTCTGGTTATGTTGTGTGTGACCTCTGATCTGGCCCAGGGTTCTCTGGGGTTCAGATGCTGGCCTTGCTTCTGGTGGGTAGGAGGCTTCTGCCTGGTTTCATAGAGTTGGCCTAGTCTTTAGGGTTCAGCATGGTGGTCTGGCCTTTGGGGATCAGGATCTGGCCTTCTACCCAAAGTGTGGGCTGGGATGTGGTGACAAGGAGAGGAGAGGCACTTGGGGTTATGCTGGGAGGAGCAGGTGGGGGTTCAGTAGGGTGGTGGCCTACCTGGTTTTCAGGGAGCTGGCTTCTTCTCTGATGGGAAGGAAGGTTTCTGCCACAGATGTGGACTGGTCTATGGTAATGAGGAGAGGAGGTGGGTTTTGGAGTTATTTCTGGCCAGCTTGAGCAGGTTTGGGGGCAGTATTACCTGGGGTTCAGGATGCTGTTCTGTTCTGTGGTGAAAGAGGAGGCTTCATTCAGAGATGTGGACCAGGAAGTGATGAAGAAGATAGGAGGGGCAGTTGGGGTTATGCTGGGCAGGCAACAGCAGGTTTGGGGGTGATCTTACCTGGTGTTCAGGATGCTGGCCTGGGATCAGGTGACATGATCCTGTGTTAATTATTCATTTATTTTAGCCCGATTGCTGTTTTCTCTACTTCCTCTTCTCCTCCCACCCCCGTTAATTTTTTCCTGATTGTTTGTCTTTAGCTTTTCTCATGTCAGTATTTTTTCCAGTTACTTAGAATTATTATGGGGATTTAGTTATATTTCTTATTCTTGTCATATGTTAACCATTTTTGAGATGCCTAGATAGCCCTTAAGGTTTTAAAAATCTTAGCATTTGAAGGAAGTTTAACTTCAGTATGTCATCATCAACAACAAAAACCCTGATCTTTTTTCTGACGAGGGGACCTGGCTATGTAATCCAGGCTGACCTGAAACCTGTGCTCACCCCTTAGTTCTGTGATTTAGACATAGTCCTCTAGACCCTGCTAGTTGAACAGTGTATCTCTGTTCTTTGCATATCACAATAGTTTTCTGTCAAATATTCTACTCATATTTAGATTCATATAGTTATCATTTCAAACTTTGCTTTTCTCTTATCTGTATAACCTTGGATAATTTATATAAATTTCCTAAGTTTAGGTATTGTAAAATCAAATAATATTATTACTTGAATTTGAAATGTTTGTTAGGCCAGATCTTCTTATAGGATTGCTGCTAATCATAGTTTTGATATATAATAAATGTTTGTATACTGTTGATACCTTTAGAGTTGGTAAGACAGGATCATTCTTCATAATTCATTTTATTTTCCTTTTGCTTATAAAACTATTAAACAGCAAAATATTTTATAGTTAATAAATCATATATACTCAATATGAGTTTTGTCTTATGATTTTGTGTATGGATTCTATAACAACAAAATTTTTTAGTTAATTTGACTTTCTCACATGGGAGTGCACAGTGTAACATTTTTGAAAAAGAAGTAGTGTAGATGTAACCAACCGTCTTTTTAAATAAGAAACACAGAACCAATGCAAAGAAGAAAGCCAAGAGGTCAGAGCTAAGAGCTAAAACCTTACCCTTCCTCCTGCTGTGGTCCTACCTCTCCGAACCAGAGCTACCCCTGTGTTAAAGTCTTTATATAGAGTTCCTGTTCTGCCTTCTCATTGGTTGTAAACCCAACCACATGGCCGCCTCATCACGGTCTGTCTGTATAGACCTCCAGGTTTTCTATGATTGGTATTGAGATTAAAGGCATGTGTATCCAATACTGGCTGTATCCCTGAACACACAGAGACTTACTTAGCTCTGCCTACCAAGTGCTGGGATTATAATCGTACGCTACCACTGCCCTGCTTTCCTATGGCTTGCTAATAGCTCTGACCCCCAGGCAATTTTATTTATTAACATACAAATAACATTTTAATACAAATAAAATATCACCATAAAGTAGTATATGTATGTCATTTCAGCTCATACTTGAGGAAGCCTGAATCCTTTCTAGAAGAGGCATACTATATAGTGAACTAGTTGAAGTCTCTGAATTCTAACCTTTCTTCTTCTTCCATGACTGAAACCAACTTAATCTTTGACAGCTCCTGCATAGGAAAGTAATACATGAATGAGAACTTTTCTAACTGTGTTTTAGATTTCAGATTTATTCTGTAAATATCTGTAAGCTTTAGTAGCTAATCATGATTGATTAAAATGTTCTAATCTTTTTTTAACTTTATGAGATGACAGCTGTCGTAGTAAGCTTTTAGGTAGCTAGTAACTTACAGTCTTTGTAAAAGCCAGAAAAATGTTGAAAAGTAAATTAAATTTTAGAATTTCTTTTGTTTATACTAGAGAAAACAAAGAATAACAATTTATTCTGGAATGAAGTTATGTATTCAAATTATGATTGTTTTTAAAACAGAATAATGATCTTTATTATATTATATTATCATAAGTAGTCTTTATAAAAGTACTGGACGTCCTTTATCATAGTAGATAAAGAATTTTCTTTTATAAACTGATTACTTTTTTAAATATTGTGTACTGCATATGACTAGCTTGACCTCATTATTTTGTTGCAAGGGATTTTAATATGTAAAAGTTCACTTTGTTATTTTCTTTTAAAGCTTTTTGAATTGCTGGGACCTGAAGGACTTGATCTGATTGAGAAGCTCCTCCAGAACAGAATTACAATTGTAGATCGATTTCTTAATTCCTCAACTGATTATAAGTTCCAGGCTCTTCAAGGTAAAAGTCTGGTAGTAATTGTAATTCATAAGAAAAACCCATGCACATAGGGGCAGTATTTACCGGACTTAGTGAGTTATCTGAAAAACATGAAGTTTGGAGGTGGGTTGTGTTTGGAAGGCTATGGGGGAAGTTGGAGGAGAGAAATGGGGCCTTGACAAGATTATATTTCTTTATAGCTCTATGAAATTCAAGAATAAATAAACTTTATAAAAGGAGATTTGTTGGTTAACAAACCTTTTGAATATAATTGTGCTTTCTTTGTCCTTTGGTTTGTAGTATTACTGATGCCATTCTTTTATATAAAATCAAGACATGGCATATCGTGGAACATACATAAGAGACACAAATAGGGTATATTAGTGTTTGGGCATAGCATCTTTTTTTTTTTGTGACATGTTAAACAATATGGAAGATTTTGAAAAGTGTGGATACGTGTATTATTTACTGTGTGCCCGGGAGTGTTACAGTTTGCCTCTGACTTTTGATTTTGAAAATTTTCAAACATGAAAGATAAATTATAATACAGCAAATACTTGGCATGCACTTAGGTAGTTTCACTACTCATTAAAATATTATTCCATTGTTTGTTTTATACACACACACATGCACGCACATGGGGGAAGGAGGGATGGAAGGAGGGGAAGAGAGAGAGAAAGAGGGGGAAGAGCTAACAAGAATACCATTTAAGCCTTTTATTTAACACCTCATAGTAATGCCCTGTAAACTCTTATGTGTACAGGTAAGAACAATGACGGTCACCTTCACAACTGCTATGTTACTATCACACTTAGAAAGTAGGACACCTGGAATACCAGTATTGTATGTATTTAAACCAACCCCAGATTAGGGACAGTTGGAGAAGAAACAAAATAATAAAATAAAAGCTACCTGAGATATCTTACCACAGGGCTGTCAGACTCAGGTTTCAGATAGCAAAATGAAAATGAAATTTTTTGAAACTTTTAGTCAATTTTACCTTGCCAGCTTTATTAATTGGATTTTTTTAAATCGTAAGAGCATATGGAATTACATACTTTTAATATCTATCTATATTGACTTCTCTGTGCGTACTTTCTATTTAGGTCATGTTATTTTATTTTTCTTGTGATGGCACTAAAAGGGCCTGATGAAAACAGCCTTGATTTAAATCCAGATTACTTATGAATTTCCTCTAATCTTCATAAATGTTCTTAGAAGGCTGGGATTGCATTATGATTGTTAGAAACTTGGTCTTCTCTGGCATGTTCTTCTCTGACATTCATATACTCCTCTCTTTCTTGCAGTAAATACATAATCATGCATCTTAGATATCACCCATTCACCGTTAGCAATAAGAGTATTTAGGCAGATTTCTGTTACATTGGATTTTTGGTGTTTGCTTAAGCAGTATTTTGTAGCAGCAGCAACAAAAACTGTTTGCTGAAGTCCTTTTCTGCAACTCTGACTGAGTTCCCAATGGTACAGGATTTAAGCTATGAAACCTCAGTCCATCATCAGGTTACTATAATGGTCTAAGTAGGGGTTGGAAAAACTGATTCTGGGCTTGGTTAGATTTGAATTCTATGCTTAGATTTGAATTTACCCACTGTGGTAGTTTGATTGTAATTGGCCCCCCTAAGCTCATAGGGAGTGGCACTATTAGATGTGGCTTTGTTGGAGTTGGTATGGCCTTGTTGGAGGAAATCTGTCTCTGTGGGGGCAGGTTTTGAGATTAGAAGGTTCAGGATACTTACCACCCAGTGAGTCATTTGACTTCCTCTTGCCTCTGAGTCAAGATGTAAGACTCTCAGTTCCAGCACCACGTCTACCTGCAGGCTATCAAGCTCCCAGTCCTGATGTTAATGGACTGAACCTCTGAAACTGTAAGTGAGCCACCTCAATTAAATGTTTTTATTTATAAGAGTTGCAGTGGTCATGGTGTCTCTTCACAGCAGTGAAAACCCAACTAAGACACCCACAAAACAGTGAAAATCAAGGCCAAAGACATTTATGTGAAGTAAAACTGTGAACTTTCACTTTTATATTGATTTAACATCCTAGATTGGATCAATACATATTTAGGTGGTATTGAAAATGGGAAACTATTTAATTTAAATCTTTAAATTTAAACTATTACAAGGTTTACATCAAAATCAACATTTCACAAATACACTTTTAAGGCTTTATAAGGGGTAATATTTTGAGCAGTAAATGGTTTCTTGACACCCATAACCAAGTAATAGCTAATTTAGAGGTGGGATTTTTATTGCTATATGAGAAATACATTTAAACTTGTAGGTGTTTTATATAAAGCAGATCTCACAAGTTTTGAAAATTTGTTACCTTTAATATTTCTTGTAGAGAATAAGTGGTTTGTATCCATAATAAAAGAAAACTACAGAATTTCCACCTCAATCTAACCCCATTTGAGAAAATTTATTTCTATTATATTAATAACTGGATGAAAATTTAGTTTTTGCACTAAACGTAGTTCAGACTTTATGAAGCACTCCAAAAGTTTTTACAGTAGACTGTTTTTATAAAACTGCCACTGCTTCTAATGTAGAATTTTGTTCTAAAAGAAAGAGAATATATTTGCAAAAATTCTCCTGCAGTGCCTTACGGGAAGTTTAAGGAAGCACATCTGTAATTATAAGACCGCAAAGGTGGTATTTGGATTCTCCATGCTGGCCTTGAATGTAAGATCTGCATTGGTAAATTGTAGGCAGCTCCTTGGTGTACTCTGCAGCCTGAGTTCACCCAGAGTGGCTCTAACCATTTTGACATGTAATGAATAAATTTCCACAAAAAAATAAACCAAGGAGCCAGTGTATTTTATCCTTAACTTTGTAAGTCATGTTTCATTTATGCCTTTTCAGTTCTTTCAAAAGGCTGCTAATACTTCAAGTTTGGAAACATTGATTTGAGTGGAGAGAAGTAATTTAACCAACTACCATTATGTTTGGAACTAAGGAATATACTTTGCAATAAATTTTTTTAAATGCAAAAAAAAAAAAAGATTGTTAGAAACTTAGACATTTGAAATTCAGCAATCTGGTCTTTTTATGGGGTTCCGAACTCTTCAAATACTTGGGGCAGCTAATTCCACATTGCGCTGCTCCACAGGAATTCCACCCATACCACTGGAAGACACACTGGAGGAAACCAGCAGGTTTTAAGAACAGTTAAACTGTCTGTTTGTAAATCATTTGTTTCTACCATAAGTAATGGATTAAGTTCGCAGCTCAATCCTGAAATTTATAAGTTCTGAAAAGTTTGTGTTATCTTGGTTAGTCTTTTAAATGTTGCTACCAACACTTTTTGGGATTACAGTTTTTAAAAGCTGTAATGTGTCAAAGATGAGTTAGTAATCCCATTTATGCTCATGTTTTATTCTCATTTTACATATTTTGTTCTATAATAACACAGAAGCAATGTACTTTTTAGTCAACACTAAATATTATTTTTTTCCAGTGCTAGAAATTGAACTTAGGGCCTCCCACATGCTTGGCAAGAAGTTTACTAAGGAGCTTTATTCCTAGCCCCCAAACTAAATTTAAATTGTTCAAAAGTATATTTGAGATATCTCTGACCCGAAATGTTTTCTACTCTTCTCAAATGGCTTTTACTTTTATTCTATATTGGATTGTTGTTAATGTTGCTTCTATTTATGACTAACTATACTCTTAAAAGTTTTGTTTATTTGAACAAAAAGCTTTAACTTGCTTATTCTTTTTTATTAACATTTTTTATTGATTCTTCATGCACCCCAGTCTCACAAATTTCCCAGTCCTTCCATGTCCATGCTCCACCCTTGTATCCTGTGTCCCCACCAAAGAAAATTATTAAAGGAAGGAAAGAAAGGAAAACCAAAACAAAACACTTCATTCCTCTGTCTTTTCTGCCTCTCCATTACATACTCATTTGTTGTAGTGGCCTTAGGAGCTGCAGTGTATTATACAGTACACCCCTTTGCTCAAACAGCTTTACTTGCAAATGTTCATTTCAGTGAGTTGTTGGTCTGGTTCAAAGCCTCTGGCGACTGGTACACCATCAATACTGGACCCTCACCAAAACTTCTCTCAGATATCTTGGCTATCACTCCACAGGACCAGTCCCTTTAGGTGCTCCAGCAGCTCATAGATGAGGTAGATGTTTGGGTGGGCCAACTCAAAGTCCTGGATGTGGACCTGGGTGGTAGTTGAGTTGGTTAGTCTGTGCCTCCACAGGGACCACTCCCTTCAGGCAAGATTCAGGGTCAGCGCTCCTGCATAGATGGTGAGGGGTGGGGCCAGCTCTTCTGAGTGCAGGGTCAGTTATTCGATTGTGGCAGCCACAAGGGGGAGGGCAGTTTTTCAAGGGCAATCGAGGGTCTTGGGGATAAATCTCCTAGGTCCATGCCACTGGGGCCAGTTTTCCTAGGAGATGGGGAGCTGAGGGGGTGCTGCTTTTGCAGCTGGTGAGGAGAAGGACCTGCTCATGGCCAGGCCATTGGGAAACTTTTATATTCTTAAAGTTTTTTTTTTGTTTGTTTTTTGTAGACTCTTGTTTCATATTGCATGAGAGATTATTTTTCTTAAAATTTTTTAATTAATTGGGGCCAGCAAATGTCTTAGCAGTAGATGTGTTTGCTATCAAACTTGACAACCTGAGTTGATTATCTGGATCATGTGGTCAAAGGAGAGAACTGACTTCTAAAAGTTGTCTTTTGGCAATCATGTGTACATTGCACACACACACACACACACACACACACACACACACACGCACACACCCTATACACAAATAAATAAATGTAGTTTTAAAAAGTTCTTGGAGGTTATGGAAATACTTTGAAGACAAGATCTTTTATTCTAATAATTTCACTACTGTTAACATTCATTTCTGTATTTAAATATGCTTTACATTTATATACTCCAAGGATTCTGAGTACCGAATCATACTTTTCATTATTAAACTATCTTACTGAGAAGGTTACTAACCATATCCACCTATTTTTTGTTTGTTTGTTTTTGTTTGATTTTATTTTTTGTTTTCTAAAATCACCATAAAGATAGAATGGCTTATTTTCATTTAGTATTTGTAACTTCAAAAGTGAATTTGAGTTTTTTTGGTTTTGTTACTGTTTTTTAATCAAGATAGACATGTACCCTAATCTGTCTTCAATCTAACCAGGAAATGTAAGGTGGCTGAGAAGTGACAGGCCTCTGCCATGAGGATAGCTGCGAATTTAATTATTTCTTTAAGGCCTGATTTTTGTTATTTTTATTTTCTTAATGAGAGAGAAAGAGTATGAAGTTGGTTATAAGGGGGTATGTGGGAGAAGATGGGGGAGGCAAAGAATATAATGAATATATTATGTGAAAATTTTTAAAAATTAAAAAAGATATATCTAAAATGTAGATTAAGTTAGTATATGTTGTTTTGTGAGTCTTTGCTGCTGGAAAGACCAGCCTACAGCAGCTTGGTTATTGAAGGGGAGCCAGAGTCAGTGGACTAACCACTCAATTGGCTTACTCTCTGAGGGAGTAAAACTTAATTCTCTGGGGGTGGAAAAAAAAAGGGAAAGACAGACAGACAGACAGACAGACACACACACTTCCGACATATTAGGATCCCACCTAGGGTGCTAATGAATGGCAAGCCTTCAGCAGGTCAGCGACACTGAAGAGGAGATACAGAGTAGGCGAACTACTGGACAGGCAGACACATGAGAACTTTTCTAAGGGCCAAAGCTTAGTTCATTTTATTATTCTTTCCGTTGCTTGTTCTCCTCTGTTCTTCTTCTGTTCTGTTCTTCTACCCTGATGTTTCCCTTCTTTCTCTTTCCTGATGACTTTCTTCTCACTACATTTTTTTCCCTTATAGTTTATATAAGTGTAAGCAAGCAAGATATTTTTCTCAGCCAGTTCTTTTACTGGCAGACTACACTTTGCTGTTACAAAGAAAGGATCTATCATTTTGTTACTCATCTCTAAAGGTACTCTTATAAAAAATTCAAAAATCTAAACATTTATATGTGAAAAGCAGTCATTTTCACTTTTAAGTCCTCAGCGTGCATACCGACTCATCAACAGTTTTTTTATTAAATCATATCAGGGAACTGAGGGCAGAAATGGGTAAAAGGAATTAATCATCACCTTTGATCACCAGCTCATCCAGGCAAGAAAGGTATGTCAGCCAGCCATAACCAGGCTGCCATTGTTTTTGTTCCCTGATCTCAGTGAGTCCCTCACTCAACTATTAAAAGTGTGTCTTTCTAAACTTCAAATTGTTTCTCAAGATTTTCTACCTCAAAGCCATTAACAAAAACATCTTAACCTAACCTTAAGTCATTATTTAAAACTTTGTTTCAGTGATGATGCACACCAAAACTCATGAACACATGTCCCAACATTAAGATTAAAAGAACTTGAGCTAGTCTAGCCTCTGGGACTCAATTGTTTTCCTTAATCATTAACCTAAATCATAGTCTGTATGGCTCCTCAAGAGAAACTTTAAGTCCCAGCTGTGTGACACTTTCTTGTTCTTATTTTTTTATCTTCTCTATCCCCTACTCTACCACGGGCAGGGGCAACACTTTATCCTGTCTTTACCTGTATTATCCCACTAAACTAACCTCTGTCATAATCCCTTGCTATATTTGTTAGAAACCCTTAATCATCAAAATTCTATTTAAACTAATACTATTATTGTATAAAATTATAACTTCACTTAAACAGTATAGCTTAAGAAGAAATCATTTTTATAATAATTTGTAGGTAAAAATGCCCGTTATAACAGGGATATTTCCATGATATAATCTCACTACATTAAAGGCAATGGGGATCCTACCACAGCAATTCACATCATGTTAGATACCATAGAAAAATGGCAGAAGCAAACATGTAAAGGCACAGCAGTAGCAAGAGGCATTCTGGAGCCAAAGCCCTTGGGTCCTTGGGTATCTGCAGTTCACCCATCAATGCCTTGCATTCAGTTGCCCTCTGCTGTTCCTCTGACGTGACCACTGGCAATTCTTTGAAGATTATACAAGATTCTTTTCTAGCATAATATGGTTGTATTAAAACGTAAACTTCTATTTTATTCTTGAGCAACATTGTATGTGATAGTTGTTATTATGATTATTTATTTTGTTTCTACTTGTCAGTCTTCACAGATAGCACAACCCAAAAAATAATGCATTTAAACATTTAAAACTTAAAGAAATCATTATTATCATTTATTGTGTTTAGTTTTACAGATTTGTAGTAAATGTTGATTGATAATTTATAAATTTTTCAATGAGTTACATATATTTTCTTACAATTTTAGTTTCCTTCTTTGGATGACAAGTATATATAACAGTATTTTGTTACTATCAAGTTCACATAAAATATTAATTACACTAGTACATAACATTTATTACATTATCTAAAGTATAGTTTCACACTTTAAAGTGTTATAGTAGTCATCTTTGGTAAGAGGAGGGCATTTTTCACATTCTTGAAACATCCTTCTTCATCTCTATCTTGCTGATTGTTTATTTTTAGACAACTTCACTTTTCTTCTAGTTCTCAGTATGTGTAAGAGCTTTCAGAATCTGAATTTTTTTGTCATTGAAAGCTAATTATAAACTGTGTTATATTACATAGAACGTAAGGTATATAAGACAAATAGAATATTTTTGGTTAGAGCTATAAAATTTCAGTTTATTATAGATCAAATTCTTAATTAATACCTTTGAAACATACTTTCCTTTTTAATGTTAAAAAAGCCACATTATAGGATTTTATTTCATGTGATTGAGAATTAAATGGCTTACTCTTAAGTCGTATAAGGATGCAAGATCTGTGAAGTTTCAAGATTTGACTAAGAATGAATTTGAACTGCATCTTACTTTCTTGGTGCTTTGTTTAATACCTTCCCTGTTCTGTTTCGAATTTTGCCATTTGATAAAATAACCTGTGCCTGTACTCTGTTCAGAGTATAGACCAAGTCTCATTCAATTTTGTCTTCCTAGCCTCGTTGTGCTGAGTCCTCAATATTGTAAATGCCTATTGACTTTGACTTTTTTTTTTTTTTTTTTGGTTTTTTCGAGACAGGGTTTCTCTGTGTAGCTTTGCGCCTTTTCCTGGAACTCACTTGGTAGCCCAGGCTGGTCTCGAACTCACAGAGATCCGCCTGGCTCTGCCTCCCGAGTGCTGGGATTAAAGGCGTGCGCCACCACCGCCCGGCTGACTTTGACTTCTTTTAGTGGTAGTTTTGTTAGCTCCTTTAGGACTGTAAGATACTTGGAAAGAGTTTAATTAAACACGAAAGGCAATCCTGTTGGAAAAACATCCTATATATTGAGGTGACTAATACAAACCTAACTCATACGTTATGAACAAACTTTATGAGTTTTGGTTGATCTATTTCTCCTGCATTTCTGTAAAAAGATGGACAGTACTGTTGTTTTGACCATTGTCTGTGGATAGATCTTGAGCTATGAAAAGTAGTAAATATATAATAACCTAGTATAGCAAGGCTAATTACTTAGAGGAAAGTTGTATTTAATATATAACAGATTGCTATTTTATCACACAAATGGTAAATGAAACTAAAATTGATAATTATATATTTGAAATCATATGAACAAATTATTTTAAAATTATGAAATTTAATTTTTGCATTTCTGATGTTATATCAAATTTATATGATCCCAGTTTCATTACAGTATTAAATTATTAAGAAGAATCTTTTGCTGATTTTTCTTAAGTTACTATGCGATACTGTGTAGATATCATGTTTTTAAGACTACTCTTAAAATATGTAATTGAGTAAACCAGCTATAAAAAGTAAATTCTTAGAGAATTGCATTCTGTTATGTTTTTGTAGTGGCCAAATGGTTTTCATAAAGGTCAAGTCATGTCTGAGATTTATAATTCATTGTATCTTTTAATTATTTCACAGATAGTTGTAAAAAATTTTTAGGAGAGAATACTAAGCCTAATTATGGATGTCAAGTTACTATTCAATCTGAACAAGAAAAACAGTTAATGAAACTTTTTCGCCGTGAAGAAAAGAGAATTGCCAGACGAGAAAAAAAGGCTGGAGAAGACGGGGAAGTTCCTGGGGAAGGACTTTTGTCCTTTGATCCTAAGGAACTCCGGATACACAGGTAGTAAAAGTCAGATGCTGAAAACACTCAAGGGTGCGATTTTTACCTGTGATATGTTCTTTGGGTTTTTTATTATTAGTGATTCTCTTACGACCTTGTGTTCTATGATGAAATAAAGCAGTCACTCTTTAATTAGAGTAAGTTTTGGTTATTTTCACGAAAGTAAGACATTTTCTTTACAGGGGTGGGCTAGTCTAAGTTGCCCTATGTATGCTTTTCAGTTAAGTTACATGAAGGCTACATGGATATAGTTTTACAAGTTTCCTTTTTCAATTTAATGATGCTTTATTTCTTTGTTACTTAAAAGTTGAAAAATGAAAATGATTGATATATTCATTCACTTAAATCAACAGTTCTCAACTTGTGGGTCCTAACCGATTTGCAAACCTCTGTCTCCAAAATTATTTAAATTACTATTCATAACAGTAGCAAAATTACAGTTATAAAGTAGCAAGCCATCCTTACTAACAATTGTGTAAACTTAGCAATTGGATACTTAAAACCTGTTTACTTCTCCTGAAATTCTGGGTTTTTAATGGGAATACCTGAAATAACAATCATAATGACCTTGTTTTAGTATGTGACTTCATTTTAAAAAGAATAATGTCAAATATGGCCTTTTTTATTTATTTATAGAGAACAGGCACTTCTGAATGCTAGAAGTGCTCCAATTCTGGGCAGGCAGAGAGACACGGAAGTTGAAAAAATCCATTATCCCCATGTTTATGATTCCCAGGCTGAGGCCCGAGAAACATCAGCATTTATTGCTGGTGCCAAGGTATGTCACTGTGATGTTACCACTTTTGGAAACAGGTATTTTCTGTGGAAATGCCTGCATAGATTTTTCCTCATGTCCTTGAATGTATTACCAGTGGATACAGTACGTTAAATTATATGTTAAAATAGTAGTAAAAATGGGATATTGCATTGTATCTTAAGTTCCTGAAATATATTCTGTATTCAGAACATATTTAAATTTTTTGATTGTTTCACTTTGTATTCATGAGTATCCATTGTATCAATCACTGACTAAACTTACACTGTATTACATACTTTCTGGTTATGAGAGTACAGTTGTCCTCAAGAATACTGTCTAGCTGGTGTGTACTTTAAGTTCATCAACATACTGTGCTCTGTGTATCTTGTGAGATACCTAACTCCTGTGTAGGAGGCCAGCTCCCACCTTTATCAGGGTTTCTATGAGGAGGAGAGTGTGATAAGAAATGATAGAAAGAGAGACCTAGTTGATAAGAGGAAAGATAGAAACACAGGATAGCTTTGAGAGGACCTGGGTCAATACCCAGCTGCCCAGAAGTTTATTCAAAAGGGTTTTTTATAACAGTGCCGAGGGGCGGGGCAAAAGCCCTCCCCCTTGCTAAATCAAAGCACAGGGCACAGCCAAGTGTAGACCCTTCCAAACACCTGGTAACTACGCCTTTGGTCAAATCATCTCCTTATGCAGCCTGGCTGGGTAAAGCAAGCTCAGATTCTCAGACCCTGAGTAATTTGGGCCTTCACACTCCTGAATGCTTTGTGGGTGTGGTTTATGTTTATTTTTCTTTTATTTAGTTTTCCTTTATATTAGCTGGGTTTATTTGCCTGTACTATGTCATAAAACCAGTAACATTTTCTCATTGTCTCTAATTTAATTAAAATCTTACCAGAGCAGTTGTTTTTATCTTTTATTATTGGAATTTTATTTTTGATGCTTATAGATGATTTTACCAGAAGGAATTCAAAGAGAGAATACCAAGTTATATGAAGAAGTACGGATCCCTTATAGTGAACCAATGCCAGTTGGCTTTGAGGAAAAGCCAGTTTATATCCAAGATTTGGATGAGGTAAGATGAGCTTTTGCGTATAGAAGTTCTAATTGGTCAGTCTAGTGATATGAATAACTGGTGCTTAAGAAGTACGCTGTTGGATTGTAAATGGTGAAAACTGGTACATACCTTTCTTCATACATGAAACACTTTCATATATGCCTTAGCTTTGCATTTGTTTATCTTGTGTTCATTTTGGTCACTTCAGCTACCTTTTTTTAAAAATTTATTTAAGAAAATTTTTTACTCATTTTACATACCAACCACAGATCCCCCTCTCATCCCTCCTACAGCTCCCCACTAGCCTTACCCCCTACCCAGACCCACTTCCCCCATCGCCTCCACCAAAAAGATAAGGGCTCCATTGGGAGTCAGCAAAGCCTGGTACATTCAGTTGAGGCAGGACCAAGCCCCTCCCCTCTGCATCAAGGCTGAGCAAGGCATCTCATCATAGGGGATGGGCCCCAAAAAGCGAGGTCATTCATCAGGGATGGATCCTGATCCCACTGCCAGGGGCCCTTCAACAGACCAAGCTACACAACTATCTCCCTTATGCAGAGGGCTTAGTTACACAGCTGCTGTTCTAAAGTTCGTGAGTTCCTACAAGCTTGGTTCAGTTGTCTCTATAGATCATGATCTTGAACCCCTTTGCTCATAGAAACCCTCTTCCCTCTCTTCAATTGAACTTTTGGAGCTCGGCCTGGTGCTTGGCTGTGGACCTCTGTATCTGCTTCCATCAGTTACTGGGTGAAGGCTCTATGATGACAATTACGGGATTCACCCATCTGATTACTGGGGTAATAAGCCAGTTCAGGCACCCTCTCCAGTATTGCTAGAAGTCTGATCTGGGGTCGTCCCTGTAGATTCCTGGGAATTTCTATAGTACCAGGTTTCTCCCTAATCCCATAATGTCACCTTCTATTAAGATATCTCTTTCACTGCTCTCCCCTCCATCCCTACCCCAGCTCATTTCCTTGTGTTCTCATCCCCCATCCCCCCCCTTGTGCCTAGTTTACTCATGGAGATCTCATCTATTTCCCAAGGTGATCCTTGTGTCCCTCTTGGGGTCATCCTCGATTGATTCCTAGCTTCTCTGGAGCTGTGGGTTGCAGTCTGGTTATGCTTTGCTTTACATCACCTGTCCACTTATGAATGAGTACATATCATGTTTGTCTTTCTGAGTCTTATTTACTGTGACATTTGCCTTACAGAAGCTTCTCAGTTTCAGGAGGTCCCATTTATTAACTGTTGCTCTCAGAATCTGTGCTACTGGTGTTATATTTAGGAGGTGGTCTCCTGTGCCAGTGTGTTCAAGGCTACTTCCTACTTTCTGTTCTATCAGTTTAAGATAGCTGGATTTATGTTGAGATCATAGATCCACTTGGACTTGTGTTTTGTGCATGGTGATTGATAAGGATCTATTTGCAATCTTCCACATGTTGACATCCAGTTATGCCAGCACCATTTGTTGAAAATGTTATCTCTTTTCCATTTTATAGTTTGGCTTCTTTGTCAAAAAACAAATGTCATAGGTGTGTGGATTAATGTGAGAGTCTTCAATTCAATCCATTGGTCCACATGTCGGTTTTTATGCCAATACTAAGCTGTTTTTATTACTATAGCTCTGTGGTAGAGCTTGAAGTCAGGGATGGTGATGCTTCCAGAAGTTGCTTTATTGTAAAGGATTATTTTAGTTATCTTGGGTTTTCTATTTTTCCATATGAAGTTGAGTATTATTCTTTCCAGCTCTGTGAAGAATTGTGTTGGGATTTTGATGGGGATTGCATTGAATCTGTAGATTGCTTTTGGTAAGATTACCGTTTTTATTATGTTGGCTCTACCTTTCTGTGAGAATGGGAGATCTTTCCATTTTCTTTTTTCTTCAGTTTCTTTTCTTCAAGGACTTCAAGTTCTTGTCACAGAGGTCTTTCACTTGCTTGGTTAGAGTTACCCCAAGATATTTTCTATTATTTGTTGCTATTATAAAGGATGATGGTTCTCTGATTTCTTTCCCATCCCATTTATAATTTGTATATAGGAGGGCTTCTGATTTTTTTTTAGTAAATCTTGTATCCTGTCATGTTACTGAAGGTGTTGATCAGTTGTAGGAGATCATTTGTATATAAGAGGGCTACTGAGTTTTTTGGACTTAATCTTATATCCCGTTATATTACTGAAGTTGTTTATCAATTTTAGGAGTTCCCTGGTAGAATTTTTGAGGTCACTTGTGTATAGTATCACATCATCTGCAAATAGCCCTTCCTTTCCAATTTGTATTCCCTTGATCTCCTTTTGTTGTCTTATTGCTCTAGCTAGAACTTTTAGTACTGTATTGAATAGGTATGGAGAGAGTGGACAGCCTTGTCTTACTCCTGATTTTAGTGGAATCACTTTGAGTTTCTCTCCATTTAATTTGATGTTGGCTGTCGGCTTGCTGTAAATTGTCTTTATTATATTTTACGTATGTTTCTTGTATTCCTGATCACTCCAAGAACTTTATTATGAAGGGGTATTGGATTTTTGTCGAAGGCTTTTTCAGCATCTAATGAGATGATCATGTGGTTTTTTTGTTTGTTTGTTTGTTTTTGTTTTTCCTTTCAGTTTGTTTATATGATGGATTACATTGAAAGATTTTTGTATGCATCTCTGGAATGAAGCCTACTTGATCATGGTGGATGATTTTCTTGATGTGTTCTTGGATTCAGTTTTCCAGTATTGAATATTTTTGCATCCATGTTCATGAGGGAGATTGGTCTGTAATTCTCCTGCTTTGCTTTGTCTTCGTGTGGTTAGGGTATCAGGCTAACTGTAGCCTCATAAAAAGAGTTTGGCAATGTTCCTCTTGTTTCTATTGAGTAGAACAATTTGATGAGTATTGGTATTAACTCTTTGTTGAATTTCTGGTAGAATTTCGCGCTGAAACCATATGGCCCTGGACTTTTTTTCAGTTGGGAGACTTTTAATTACTGCTTCTATTTCCTTTAGGGTTATAGGTCTATTTAAATCATTTACCTGGTCTTGACTTAATTTGGTTATGTGGTACCTATCCAAAAAATTGTTTATTTCTTTTAGATTTTACAGTTTTGTGAAGTACAGGTTTTTGAAGTATGACCTGAAGATTCTCTGGATTTCCTCATTGTCCTTTTTGTTTCTGATTTTGTTAATTTGGTTATTCTCTCTCTGCTTTTTGGTTAGTTTGGATAAGGGTTTATCTATCTTGTTGTTTTTTCTCAAAGAACCAACTCTTTGTTTCATTGATTCTTTGTATCGTTCTCTTTGTTTCTATTTTATTGATTTAAGCCCTCAATTTGATTATTTCCTGGCGTCTATTCCTCCTAGGTGAGTTTGCTTCTTCTTGTTCTAGAGCTTTCAGGTGTGCTGATAAGTCACTAGAGTGAGATTTCTTCAATTTCTTTATGTAGGCAATTAGTGCTATGAACCTTTCTCTTAGTTCTGCTTTCATAGTGTTCCATAAGTTTGGGTATGTTGTACATTCATTTTCATTGAATTCTAGGAAATCTTTAATTTCTTTCTTATTTCTTCCTTGACCCATTGGTGATTCAGTTGAGCATTGTTCAGTTTCCATGAGTTTGTAGGCTTTCTGTAATTTGTGTTGTTGAGTTCTAACTTTTAGCCATGGTGGTCCAGTAAAATATAAGGGGTTATTCAATTTTTTTTTTTTTAATATGTTGAGATTTGCTTTGTGAGCAAGTGTGTGGTCAACTTAGAGAAGGTTCTGTGGGGTGCTGAGAAGAAGGTATATTCTTTTTTGTGTTTAGGTAGAATGTTCTATAGATGTGTATTAATAAGTCCACTTGAGTCATAATATCTGTTAGTTCCCTTATTTCACCCTTAAGTTTCCATCTGGCAAACCTGTCCATTGGTAAGAGTGGGGTGTTGAAGTCTCCCACTATTAGTGTATAGGGTTTAATGTGTGATTTAAGCTTTAGTAATGTTTCTTTTACATATGTGGTTGCCCTTGTATTTGGGGTATAAATGTTCAGAAGTGAGACTTTGTCTTGATGGATTTTTCCTGTGATGTATATTAATATCCTTCTCAAGCTCTTTTGATTAATTTTTATTTGAAGTCTTTTTTGTTAGATATTAGGATAGCTATACCATAGCTTGCTTCTTAAGTCCATTTGATTGGAAAGTCTTTTTCCAACCCTTTTCTGTGAGTTACTGTTTGTCTCTGAAGCTGAGGTGTATTTCTTATATGCAGCAGAAGAATGGATCCTGTTTTTGTATCCATTCTGTTAGTCTGTATCTTTTTATAGGTGAATTGAGTCCATTGATATTAAAGTATATTAATGACCAGTGATTGTTAATTCCTGTTATTCTTTGGTGGTATTGTGTGTGTGTTTCCCTTCTTTGTGATTTGTTGGTCTGAGATTATCTATTGCCTGTGTTTTCGCGGGTGCATCTAAGAATCTTAGGTTGGATTTTTCTTTCTAGTGCTTTCTGTTGGGCTGGATTGTGGATAGGTATTGTTGAAATCTGGTGTTGTCATGGATTATCTTGTTTACTCCGTCTATGCTAATTAAAAGTTTTGCTGGGTATAGTAGTCTAGGCTGGCATCCCTTGGTCTCTTAGTGTCTGTATAACATCTGTCTAGGACTTCCTTTTTTTCTGAGTACCGTTGAGAATCAGGGTGTTATTTTGATGAGTCTGCCTTTATATGTTCCTTGGCCTTTTTCCTTTGCAGCTCTTAATATTCTTTCTTTATTTTGTATGTTTAGTGGTTTTATTATTATGTGGTGAAGGGACTTTTATTTTTGGGTCCATTTTTTAAGTTTCTTGTATCTTTATAGGCATTTCCTTCTCTAGGTTGAGAAAGTTTTCATCTAAGACTTTGTTGATTGACTCTGTAGGTTTCTCATCATAATCTTGATGCTTCTTGCTCCTAGAATCCCTTTTCTCGACTGGAGTCCTGAAGCTTGTCCTGGTGCTTGGCTGTGGATCTCTGTATTATTTACTCAGATTTTCCATTTCCAGCAGTACCTCAGTTTATGTCTTCT